TTAATCAGGTGATTGTAATTAGCCAAAAGCTTAATAGTTATACAAATTTAAAGATTTTTAAGGCATTGAATAACAGCACTTTTCAATAATTGTTCAGCCTACTATTTTCTATTTCTATTTCTGTGTTGAATGTGTGAGTGCTGACCACGTTTTGCGTCCATTTCTGCAATGGCAGCGCTCTGCTCCCCGTTGGCGAATCTGCCATACAATGAAACCACTGGAAGCGGCTCCCGTTCTGGTGGAGGAGGCTTGGATAGCGGAAGATAAAATGTGTATTGTGTTGTACCTTTTGACTATAGTTTTAAGATGTATTGTATATCAAATAAATTAAGCAACAAAAAAAAAAGTCTTGTTCAGTCTTTAGTTCAAGGTCTGATCAATTTGGCTAGGACAACACTCATCTTCCACTTCCATTATGGTCCTTCGAACCAGATGCTTTTGGACGGACGGCTAAAGCGCCATGGATTTGGAATGGCGGTCTACCGTCACTATTCATTTCGGGAATAATGCACCTCAACACCATCATATCACCGAACAATATACCGTTTCGCGCCATCTTTAATTGTTCGAAGAATTGCTGTTCTTGGACAAAATCAAGTCACTTCACACGGTACCATCTTGGTTTTTACAATCACAGAAAACTACCCGAATATCCTTCGCAACAAACCTTCAACCGCTCCATGCAAACCACACTCCTTCAAGTCAAATGAACATTGGTCACTTTCCCATAATGTGATGCGGATGAAGGATTTTGGCATCTACATAATCGGAGTTAAATACGGATCTTCAAACCGTTGGCAACCATTACATGAACAAATTTTTCCTCATTTGGATCAGCTGAATCGACGGTGCACACTAAACGAGTTGAAACTCCTGGTTTCGCAGGTAAATAAACAAAGATCACTGTACATGTCCCACCGAAAACGGCGCTGGTGGTGTAGTGGTAAGCGTGATTACCTCTCACCCCAGCAGGCCTGGGTTCAATCCCAGTCGGCGCCGCCGGGATGTTCTGAGGCATAACATCTCTGATCACGTCTTCCTTCGGATGGGAAGTAAAGCCGTTGGTCCCCGGTTCATGAGTTGATGGGTCGATAGGTAGGATCCAGGTGTGGGAGCTGCCTTCCTGGCACGTCGGTAGCATTGGTGCTCAGCACGGAAAACAAGATCGACGGAAAAAACAAAACAAAGGAAAAAAAAATGTCCCACCGAAGCCAAACAATATTGGTTCTAACACCCATCCTCCGACATCTGGTTACATGCTCTAACACTACGGAGCTCGTCAACACTGTGCATCACGGTCTGGAACGGTCAGCACCTTATCCACGGTTTATGAATGGGAATCACACATGGACCTTCGGAATCGCCACGGTTTAAGAATTTCTATGGATTTTGGATTGTCGATACCACTTATCGTCACCACTATTGGCACCGGTCACTGTTTGCGATTTTCATTATGTAAACATCCCAACCCTCAACACAACCACCGTTAATCGAGGCACACGATGAATCCTCACTTATATTCCACTGTCAACGTTTTGGATCACACACGAAGAGGGAGCATCAACAGTCGTTTTGCCAGGTCAGTACACTTATAGGTATATGTCCACCGAAGCCTTGACATTGGATACTACACCCATTAATTCTAAATTGTCCTCTTCGTGCAAACACCGATCACCGAGATAACAACTAACAAACGAGGGAAGATCACGAACACTGACTAACGTGGCATTGGAGCCCAGTACTAGTTTCTACGGTCTTCAACTGAATAGCGATCAAATCTGCATAATACTCCGAAATTCTCTTCTCTCCTATCAATCATCTCTGTGTTGGACACACAAATAAGGGATACTTTTGATCGGAAGATCGTTCGATTCGGCAAAGGAAAACTCACACTAATTGTTACGATAACATTCGGTACGGACATCAATCAGTACTGGTCACCCTATCATAACTCTTGATGCACACCACAATGCACGGTCTGATCAACCTGGCTCGGACAATAGGACGCTTGATCGGCATTCTGCAACAGCTCTCTTAGATATACTCTGTTTACAATCCTACCTACCTATCCATACAAACAACGTCGAGTAGGTATACTACAATTGGAATCTCTCACATCCTCTCTGTTTACTACGGCGAACGAGATTGTCGTGCAAAATCTATCCACTTCAATGCAATCACGATAGCACCACGGAAACTGTTTCGGAACGGATTGCTGTTTAATAATCCAGTAGAAAAAGGGTATACGGTTTATCGATGACGGTATAATGTTACAGGAATGGTAGAACATACGGATCGTTAAGGCGCAAATCCTGGTAGGATTTGCTAGGGGCAACGATTTTACGGTTCCATTCACTATTTATATTCTGGTCATTTAGCGATTATCAGCGTAGCAGAACTCAATATGCTGCACGATTTGGATGCTGTTGTTATGAACAACAATAGCGAAGGCAACCCAATCCACACTTGTTTGATCAGGGATCAGCAGCTCATTCATGGTTACACTTCCAAGGAAGTAATCAATTCCACTGTAAGCAACAGGTGCTCGTCCCAACGAGGTTTACTTCCCAATGGTTTGGTTGGATAATTGGATAATTAGGGCTACTGATTATTATCTAGGAACCCGAGCGCTACTGGTGGTAGTGCCCAATTCGAAAGGTGACAAATGATTGGGGACGTTTGTCTGGGGACCGAAAACGTTTCCCACGGTTGTTCGAGAAACAAAATACTAACTGGCGTCGTCCAAGAACCCGTAGTAATCAAGGGATGACGATGCAATCCAATGGGCACGAAGCCATGGAACCACATTTTAACAATAGGATGCGATAGATGGATCGGATTTAAAAGCTGTCGGTGGAACTTAAAGAAAGGAGGAGAAAGGAATCACCATGTTCATTAAAGATCAGGATGAAGGATGAGATATCGATGGAATGACGGTATAGATCAAAGTGATCAAAGTGAACAGGGAACAGCAAACAGCAAATCACCAACAAGACAAAAAGGATCACCGCTGCACAGAAAAAAGTTCTGAATTTTAACTGTCGCGTGAAATCTCCTCTCGTTTAATTTTGAGCTATAGATGGCGTAAACAACGAAATTGATTGCAAGCTTGTATACAACACTGCAGATTTACGCGATATTGCACTTAAACTTAAAAATCTAGCGTTAATAACATGTGCGCTATATCGCATAAATTTACATGGAACTGGAACTGTTCAGCAATGTAGGATATTTCAAGGAGGGTGATTATGTTCGGGAGCAGTGTGATCACCACTCACCCAAGGATACAACCCACCAACTCTCTACCATCTGTTACGATCACCAACACCAAGTAAAACACACACCATCGATCGAGAGATCGGTGATGTAATGAAATCACGATTGATATAGATTGATGTAGATATAAAAATCATGTATGTTAAAGATAATTAGTTGCAATTTGCCCGGTATGGCAAACGGATCCTAAGGGCTCTACTTGGGCGACAATCTTAAATGTGTTATGAATAAATGTAAATATGTTGTGTGTTAATAAAGTAGTTTTATGGTGAAGTGTCAGTTTACTGTAAAACCCGTGTTTTGTGTAACCAACGATGGCTGAAAAATCCCCGTAAGATACCAGGGAGGACAGGATACTAGATGTTCAACCAGAGGCTTTTAAACCCCCCCCCCCTTCGATGTTGTGGATCAAATCCCCAACAATATAATTATGAACTTTATTGAGGATGAATTTTGGGGATACAATTCGCTTCATGCACTACTAATCAACTATATATTCAGCCTGGTGTTAATCAGCTTTGAACACCTTACAGCTTCTGTTCTTACTGTACTTCATGGTTACTTGGGCAGTCCGTACAACCAAAAGTTTGCCGAACGACACTAAAACAGACGCAAATATTTTCTTGACGAATCCAAAAAAAAATCAGAATCCTGCCGACCCGTGCGAATTCGGTTGGTTGGAGAGACCACTGAAGCTACTCTAAGATAAAAAGCGTATATGCACACTTAGAAAAAATCATGTAAATTTAGGTGCTCTGAGAGTGACATATACGAGCGTCAATTTTGATATAAACTTGAGTCATAACAGACGCGAAATATAGCTCAATCAAACGTACTTTTCGTCGAGCAACGAACTTTTCATTCTCGGAGCACTTAATTTTACATGACATGTTTGTTTACGTCTCATCTTTTATGTCAAAGACGGATTCCGTCACGTGTAAAATTAGTTATTTCTAAGTGTGTGGATAATCATGTTCAAACCATTCGGCCAACAAAACTCGCAATCAATGGTCGTCCAATCCGAGTCGATTATAGGTTATATATGACCATGATTGACGGCAAACTAGTGAATGTTGCTACGAGTACAAAATCAGCTGGGAGATGACCCACCCAGATGAATAACATCCAAAACGTTCTTTTGCGATCAACCGATGAAGTAGCATGCCAGTTTGAATTATCTGTTCTCTATGCGAAAATAGTGCAATTAAAATATAATGTAATGTTGTTCAATCCTCTCGAAATTCCACAAGTTATTACAGATTTTTTCGAATACTTTTAAAAATAGCTTGTTGTTTAAAATCAACTAATCTTAACACAAATATGTGTATGATTGTGTGAACTTCAACTGTCTTAAAATGTAAATCTTTCAAAAGCAAAATACCTAAACACTCTACTAAAATGCAAGACCGATTCATTGCGGTTGAAATCAAGCTGGAGCTTACCAATGCTTACTAGGCGTTTGCGCGAAGGCAGACGTAATAATCCTCAGAATTCATTTAATCCAGATCCTTTTGCTCATCATCAGTTCCCAAGCATTTATGAAAGCAGCTAAACTTTTCTAAGAATAAACGTTCATTGTGGGTATGCAAATCCTTCGGTAAAGAATGTTTCCATTTTTATAGCACGTTTTACCACCTGAGAACAACGCGAAAAAATATCGTGAGCCGACATTCAACAAATAATTTCATCGCACCTGTGTTTTGTCTTCTCACCCACGCACACAGATCCCCCGAAGGAACCGTACCTACTGATCGACCAGCGACGGCTTGACGCAGGAAACATGTTCATTCCGGTGAAGGAAAACTCGGAGCTTACGTTGGCCTGCGTTAGCGAAGGTGGAAATCCGAAGCCCTTGCTCAACTGGGAAGTGTTGCTCAGTCCCGGAATCGACCGTCACGCTCAAAAAATCTCCAACGATGTGCTGGAGCTGCAGGAGATTAAACGAGACAAGGTTTGTACCTCTATATACCTATATGCATGCACGAAAAGTTGTTCGAAATTTCCCGCTCTCACTACCAGGATCAACAAGGCTGGTTCAAATTTATTGCTGGAATAACTTATAAAGGGATCTACCGAGTAAACTGAAATCAGAACTTCTAGATCACAACTCAATTTTGATAAAAAGAAAATGTTATAATCCCTTTTTAGTTTTATTTTTACTAAGCAGTCCTTAAATCTTATACCAAACAGTCATACCAATTCTCACATCACTTTAAAACATTGGACCAGTCTTTCACCATGTGTACACACAATTGCGTACGTACATGTGTGTGCATGTGAATTTATAAAAGTGTTTGAGCTGGAATTTCATGCTCTGATTCCTGACGGCACTGTTGCCTGCGTTGCTGGAGCCTTTGGGAATCCGGTTTTTTCGCGGGAACATTTTTTTTTGCGCTCATTTCGTAACTGCTGTTCCATTCTACTGTGATGCCGGGATGAATAACGCGAGCTTTTGGCTTACGACCGCTGGCATCAGCAGGAGCAGCAACTATAACCAGAGGAAATGAAAGAAAAATAGACGGGATGTGCGCTACATGTTTTCTCAGCACCATACCCCAGTCGGTGCGAAGGAAGGAGCTTTCATTCCCGTTCGCACATTTTTCATTCGGGCTTGCGGATGCGGATTAGTGGTGCACACAATTTGATGAATTTTACATTTTTCAAGTGAGAAAAATCTCGGCAAACGCGTTAGAAAAACATGCGCTCGGAGGGAAGCTGTATTAGAGCGAATATTACCGGTTCCGCAGTTGTTGTTGAATATTTGTACAGGATGGAACCCATGACTGCTGATTTTGGTGTGTTTCATGATGGTTTATTTTGAAAGGTCTTTAATGCAATCATAAGCTTTGATTAACTCTGGTCTGTATGCACTTTGGTATTTAATGGCGAAATATTATAATAATTAACATGTGATAACAGTAATTAAAGACTTCTACCATCGAAGATCTCTTGGAAGCCCCTAAATTTAGTAAAGACTAGGATCTTCTGGAACTCATGTAAAGCCTTGGAACTAGTGATTCTATATCCCTGTAATTTTTGACTGCCCCGGAATCAGGAATTCTTCCAGGACGTTTCATCTTACTCTCCCTAGAATTATCTTCCTCCTATGTCTGGAAGATGTTACCAATACACTGGTAACATTTCCTTGCAGTCAAATGCTACATCCAGGTGGACATAGTCAACTCAATAAAATAAAATAATTATATTAGATTAGTTATTAATAAATCAAACTACCCAAGCAACAATTTTTGTTTTATTTAAGTTTTAAAGCAGTTGATATAACCAAATTATAAAACCTTCACTGACGACCACATTGCTTTAACAATCTCCTGAGAACCGCAATACAGCCATGTCATGGCCAATTGGCCTAGTTTTAATGCAATGATTAAAACTTGATATGCGAACTACTTAAGGAGCATAGGATTTATGTCAGTTTTATCACACTCTAGACGTGATTGTTAAAAATGAAAACATAAAACCTCCTCCAGGTCAGAAAGTTTTAACAGCCTTCTAATGACTACCATAAAACTATATTACAACCGCATAAATCGCTCCTGAAGAAGTTGATAAAACATGATACGCAAAACATTTTGACAACTTTGAAGGTTTTAAGTTGGGGTTTTTGGATGATAGTTAATATTGAGAAATATTTTATTGTGGTTTTATTCTTTCGATGTTTGATGTGAAATCATGATCCTTGTCAGTTGGTAATAATGGCTGATATTATTGTACATTGAAAATAAGACGACTTTATTATAATTTTAAACCAATCTGTATATGCTTCACAGCATGCCGTGCAATATTTATGGTGATTATTATACCAAATAGGAGCATAAATTTAGTGCGCCATATGAATACTAAAATATAGGGATATTTTTAATTTGTCTGCATTAGCACCATGCATTAAAGAGTCATTCAAAGATTATCTACTTAGTACAAAACTGTTACTACTGTTGAGCAATAACCAGTCACATATATTATTTAATTATACATAGATGTATGAAAGTGTTTTATTGCCTATCAATTAAAGCGTAATTATTCATACTGTGTGAAATTTGTTCATACGGCGACATTTTTTTTTCGTTATAACTTGCTACTCCTTAAAAATACCTCAATATAACATATTCTCCTAGATTGGAATTCTATAGCATAACATAAACCTAATGGTTGTATCTTAGCATTTCGTAGTCCAAATTGAGAGCGTTAAGTTATATTTAAGCTATATAACTAGCTTGCTGGTTTTATTCGGTACAGCGAATCAAAACAAAACAAAAACCATGACAACCTGTCAAAAAGTCAACATTCCTAGCGATCCTCCTATTTTCGTTTGTAATCAAGATGTAAGAAATGCTTATTGGATCCACTAAAAGCTTTTTCAATACAAGGTTTAAAGCCGTGATGTCAATACTGGCCATCTCCAAACGGATTTAGTGAAACTGTCGGCGTTGCTCTAAGAAGGGTTCGTGGATCTTTCGGAAGTGTATCGGAAAGCCGCTTGTTCAATATTTTTAAGAGCTCCTTCACCGCACTGTGCCTTATGTAGGGATCGTATAACTGTAGTTCCTCCAGGAGTTTCATATTGTCGATCGTCTCATCGTCATCGTGTTCAGAAGCACTGAAGGGGTTTTCATTTCATATATCTGAATAGATTTGTTTTTTATAATGACAAAACATTTCAGAGTATTTTTTGTTGTAGCAGTATATTTCTTATCTGTGAATCTTAGGCCTCTGATAAAGATGATAGTTGTAATGAAGCTTTAATGAAGCTCTAAGACTGCTTCAAGTTTTATATCGGTCATAAAAAGTGTACCATAAAACATAATTGTATGTTTTGTTTTGGTTTTATTCTTCAGTTATAAGTAGTGATGCAGAACCACCTTACAGCTACCGTTAAAACTATGAAGTCTGAGTTTTAATTTAGTAGTCATAAAACAGTTTTATAGACGACTTGACGGCCTGATTTTATGACAAGCACACAAAACCGTAATACAACCACAGGCTGGAAGGGATGCTATGATAAAACAATGATAAAATAAGAATAATTCTTCCAAGCATTTAGATTGTTACTTGGGTAGTGGCACATTAGATTAGGAGTTAAAATTAAAGTAAAAAGAAAAGGAAACAAAAATAGGTACAAACACCCCATAAAGACGGCTTACATCTCTGCCTACACATCAGCAGGCGAAATTGACCTGTCAGTTTATTTTGGCATATAAATATCCGGAAAAGAGAGAGTGAGAAGGAAGAAAAGTAGATCGAGGGAGAGAGAGAGGGTGAAACACAAAAAGGGAGACGAGAGCTAGTTGCTGAAAAAACGAGGAGACAGTTTCGAACCACCACAGAAGACGGATCACAAGGAAAACGATTAAGAAAAAAACGATGGAAGCGGAAGGAAGAGTGACTGGAAGTACGGTTTCTTCGAAAAGTGGTTCCCCCGCGAGTGATTGATCAGCCCGGGGTCCCTCAGTTCGAGACGTGTGATACGAGACGTGTGTTACGGACATCATCGAACCATACCTGTTGAGTGGATCCCCGGTGTAGTGATTGTCGACGGTTGTTCGGCGAGCCCAGTGCTGGTGGCTGACGAGCGTTGTGCCATTGCCGCACCACACGCTACGGGTGAGTGGTAACACACGTTCTGGAGGTGAGGGTTTGGCCAGGTCCGTGTGGGTTCGCCCCCGCTGGTCGGACTCAATATCCGATACGTTACCGCCCCGTTAGCGAGCACTAGGGACGTCGGACCGGTACGGAAACCACGTGGAGTTGAACCAGCCCCTAACCACGAAGTCGATCCGCTGTGGAGACAAGGGAGGAACGAGAAATCGGCGAGTCCCGTGCTGGTGGTGGACGAGCGTCGTGCCATTGCCGTACCACACGCGTCGGGTGAGTGGTAGCCGAAGCCTTGGAGGTGAGGGTCTAGCGAGGTCAGGTGGGTTCGCCCCCGCTTGCTAGTGCCCAATATCCGATGAGCTACCGCCCCGGCAGCGAGCACGAGGAACGTCGACCGCAGTGGAAGCATCGGACCAGTTCCCCGTCCCAAAGTCCTGAAGCCCAACAGTACCTAAGGTAACCACGAACCACACACACTCTCTCTCTCTTTCAGCATGCATGCAATGGCCGCAACGAACCCCCTTTCACAAAATGTAACTTTAAAGAAATAAAAAAAAAAATGTAATTGAGTTAATTTGTTGTGTTTGTGCCACTATCCTTCAATAGAAAGTCCCTGCATGTAGACCGACTGTGTTGTTGTTGTCCCCTTCGATTATTAAGTGGGTTGTGAGTCCACCGAACAGGAAGCCGGCCTTGAGATAGAGGTAAGAGTACCCGGTTCTAGCTAGCCGCTACTTACAAAGATTCTCCAGAGTTCTCCTGGATGTCCCTAGCAACCTCCCCTGAAAGTGCCCCTGACTTAATTAGGCTTCTCCCGATAGCTTATTTTAGACTTTCACTATCCCACAAAGTTTCTAATCGCTTCTCCCAGAAGTACCTTCCGAATTCTGTCGGAAATTTCTTCTGACTTCCGCAGAAATCCCATCTAATCTTCTTCCAACTTCCTTATATAGAAACTGTAACGTAACAATTCGAAGACTACAGCTTCACTTCACCTTCTCTGAAACTGCTTTTTTAACCCTTCGTAGGAAGGCCCTTGGTGAAGATATCAGCAACTTGGTTCTAAGCTGTTCTCTATCGATCTCCTTTAGCTGCTCGATTCGCTATCGCACAAAGTTGTACTTATCGGATGTCAAGATGTTTAACCCATTTTCGACTCTTGGCTTCTTCGCAATTTGAATACAAGACTGATTGTCTTTACTGTCGATGTAATTTGGAAATAGGACTTATTTTCACGCCACGTGACATCGACATGACTTTTTAACATGTTGTATGATATCATATTGCCAATAATACAAAACACGCGGTTTTTAAATAACTTTGAAATAATTGATCACAGCA